TTTCAAACTTCTTAGATTCAGGAGCCCTGTATACTCTGTTGTGTGTCGACTCTGTATTGAACTTAGTAGATAAAATGTGATGATAATGTGTAGATGTGACTACGGCCAACTTGTGGCGTTACACATGAGCAAACTCAGTCACGGTTTGTGCTTCTTCCTCCATACAATTATATGCGAAGCGAGAAACACCGCTAGAAAATAATAATTAAAAAGAGGGTGGGGGGAGGGGGGGGGGGGGGGTAGTGTCTAGTCAAGATCAACGATATAAATTTGTATAAAGTGTGTACACTCGAGCCAAGCTTCGTTTACATATATGAACCTTCGACCAACTCTTAAGTTATTTCAGTTTTGAACTCAATCCTACTATGCTGGGTAGTGAAGTCTAGCGTTTAACTGTCATTTTTGTAAGTTAATGGACGTGTTGCCGTTAAGACGATGCTGTGTTTTCAGTAGTCTTGATTTAGTCTCCTGTTGTAGTGCTTATTTAGACAAGTGTATAGTCTTCTAACAGCAAGATCTAACTATATATTCTTCGGCAGCTGTTCTGGATCTACATCTGCCCACGAGAATGGCTGTGCACCGACTTGCTCGTGTGCACTAGAACAGTGTTCCTCAACCTGTTTTACACCCGCGACCCACAAGATGGATCTCGGCCCACCTGACAGCTAACCAAACACAGCGTTAAAGTCGAAATGCTCGACTTCATTGCACTGGGTTTTATCCCATATGGCTCGGTCTCTCTCTCTCCGCAGAAGGGCTAACCGCTTTCCGAAATCGCCATACAGAGCACGAATTCCGTAGCTCTGGCGACCATACCATGGATCTCAGTAAAAATTGAACTCGTGAACTGAACGGCGCAACACCCTTTTAAGGGAAAAAGAACAATCATCCCCCCTCAGGGAATCAAACACCGGGTTTCCGCGAACCCACGACCTTCGGAGCGAGAGGCAAATGGCTTGATCACTTCGCCACGGAGGACCACCCCCCCCCCCCCCACCCCTCTTTTCACCTACCAAACACAGAAACAAAAACAAATATAGATAGCAGCTTATTTGTTAAATCCGATGTTACAAAATTACAATTTCAGCTGATCTTTTTATTCTTATCATTGATGTGTAAATCCTTCAGATTGTAATCTATCCTGAACCTTTACACGGTGAGGCTGGCCGGTAGCTGACTTCGTCGCCGGTAGGGACAGTATCTGGGTCTGTCTCTTTTAATCGCTTCAACATTTCAAGAGTTCTTCTCAGAACTACTTCGTTTCGAGCAATGCTAAGCTATTTTATATGGCGCACACACACATAACCTAGTCACAGTTATAACCAATAGCTCCCCCTTCGGGAATACTGGTTGAAGTTGACGACTTTTGTTTCCGCAAAGCAAGCCAAGCTATCCTGTTTGTAATATACGGTGATGACAGCGTGTGAATATATGTATGTGTGTATGTGTGTGTATATGTGTGTGTACTAATTATGAAGTGCCTTGCCGGCTGGCGTAGCCTTTCACGCATCTCCACAGATCTGGTCTTTGTTTCCTGGATCAGGTCCACTGATGATTTTCCTCAACGCCATTGTCTTTAGCCATCCATCATCAATTCTCTTGGTCTGCCTCTTCTACCCGTGATTTTTTCAGTTGTCACAATATTTTCCAGTTCTCCGTTTTCCCTCATATAACCAAAGAACTTTTTTCGTCTCCTTCTCATTGTTGTATATAAAGTTATACTTTTATTAGCCATTTCCACGCAATAATTGATAGTTTATTCTAAGGTATTCGCAACATTCTTCACAAGAATCACATCTTATGTGCCCCCAGACTCTTTTTAATTTGTTTGCTCACATTCCAAGATTCACTACCATACAACAGAACAGGCTCGATGTAACATTTCAGTACTCGTTTTATGATGTTTAATTAGAGTAATTTATTACAAAAGACACTTTTTATCTTCTGAAATACCGCCTTCGCCTGGCCAGTTCTGCTCTTAATCTCTGTCACACGTCGTCCATCTCATGTTATGAATATCCCCAAATAGTTGAATTTATTGACTTTGATAAGCACTTTCACTTCTACAGACTGTTTATATTATAAACTCCAACTAGTTTTCATGGTCTATCCTTGGCCTCCCTGATTATTATTTAACTATAAGGAGAAAAGAGATCCAGTGACAAAACACATCCTTGTCTAACTCCTTGCTTCATCTGTTCATAACTGTCTACTTTATATGGATATATACTGCATCCTCAAAATGATTGCCGAAGTGCAAAAAAAGTTTAATGTCAATAAAACTGCACCTGGCTATCGTAGCCGTGTTTGAATCACTCCTTGGATGAACTTGGATTGTGTTGACTTGTGTGCGAAAGAATTTACATTGTATAATTCTAGATTGTTGACTTGTTTGACCTTTGTGGCCCGTGAGCGCCGTCCGACTGAGGCAGAGTCCGTCTCTGCTGTATATTATACATACACGCACATACACACGCACACATACCTATCCATGCACATCGCGTGTAAATATTTCTTTATTTGTCAAAATAAACACTCTGATACCTGTCAATATACATATCTATCTCAATACATAAAAAAAAAAAAAATCTGTCTGTCAGTATTTATGGCGTTTTTTTTTTTCTCTGCGTCATGATGTTTTAAAAATGTGTAATTGTCAGTCTGTTTCCCCACTACACTTCTGTTTTCCCCGCATCTACCGAGATTTTGAAAGTCGTATAGTTGATCACTACGCGAAGCATGGCCGTATGTAGACGTTCGCAACTTATGCAGCTGTACCGGGAGGCAACATATTGGGGGCCGCAAAATATAACTATGGTCGGTTTTAAAAGTCCTGCCAAAATTTAAAAATCTGTACCCAGTTACCGTTCAGTGCTTATTGTTGGAATTTGGCATGCAACATGTTAATAATAAATTCTTCTAGGAAATAATTATAATGCAAACACAAATCTAGCTTTTAATGTCCCATTTTTGTTCTGGTATATGAAAAAAGACACCTATTCAAAGTATAAATAACTTTTATTTTTACAGTAAATGGCTTGAGGTGAACTTTGGCAAAATATCAAATGATCCCTGTTTTTAAGGTAATCTGTGCGAGAAACTAAGGCGCGCTTCTTCTTCTTCTTCTGTTTCTTCTCTTCCACCTTGTACCTCAGCTAAGTGTCGAGGGGAGATGTAAGGTTCGTTGATGAGCTCTGTCAAGAGCACTATTAAGATTGATGTTCATTTTTGTAAGGCTGTTCTTAATGCCATCACTGCATGTTTTCCGAGGTTTTCAGCTCGCTCTATACCCGTTGTAACGTTTTAGTGTGGCTCGCTGTGGCGGATAGTACCAGGGCATTCGTGTCAGGTGTCCAAACCACTTCATTTGTTGTTCTTTGATGGCCTGTAAGACTGGCTTTATTCTTAGCATTTTCGTGATTTCGTATTTTGTCTTTCCTTTAAACTCCTGCAGCTCTTCTAAAGCATTTAATCTCTGATGTCACAATTTTACGTTCATTACACGATGTAAGTGTCAACGTTTGGCACTGATAGCATAATAGTGTTGGCTAATAAATAGTTCTGATAAGATTCACTTTAGTACTCCAGGGTATCTGCTTGTGTGTCAACAGGGGAAATAGTTGCCCCGGTGGTTGATTAGCTTTTTCACATCTCTAGCAAATTTCTCTGTCCAGTTTCAAATATTGAATTATTTTGTTTGTTTTAAGACGTTGTTTTTATTTTTTATTTTTATATCATTTCTAAATTGTCTTTCTGTCTTCATATCACCATTGTCTCTGTCTTCGTAGTGTTTATTTTCCTTTTTCTCCCCTTTGTTAATAATTTGATTTAGATGGTTCTGTAGGCATTCCGTACTTTCTGCTATGAGAACCTGGTGGTCGGCGAATAGTAATTCTGTAATATCTTCTTCATGATTAAATTTCGTTTCCTTACATATAGTATCCATGTATGTGATAAAACGAAGTGGCGATAGTACACAGCCCTGATGCACACCAGAATTCACTATAAAAGTTCTTGACAATCCTGCCTTCGATCTTATGCAACATTTACTACAGTTGTATAGGCTTTTGCAAATATTAATGAGATGATTGCTGATTCCCCTTTCCCCCATACATTCCCACAACATATTCCTGTCGACTCTATCGAAGGCTTTTTACTGGTCTATGAATGTCAACAAACAGGTCTTATCATGTTCTATTGCTCTCTCTGATAGCTGTCGCTTATTTTTAAGGCGCGCCTATTTTGAATATTAAAACGAAAAGTACTCGATTTGTTGTCAATTACTGTACATTTTTTAAAGGGGTACACAAATTATTAGCCCTACAAAGATCAAAGAAATTCGCCGCTGTAAGAAAACAGCAGCATCTAGGAAAATGTAAATTATGAAATCATAAGGACATGAGAAATCTACGACCACAGACTCAAATTCGTGTTGATACGTAGTGGAGTTTTCGAGATATTTGTTAGTTTGAGGCCACGACTTTTGGAAGCGACTATAGTATTAGTGTGATGTCCGTGGCTTAGGCGTTGTGAGTCCGACTCGTAATTCCAACGTAACGTACCGCGATCGAAACTCACTGTTGCCTAAGCGGATTTTTATCATGGTGTGGGGCGTCGCAGGTCGATCCAGCCTAAAATGGGTACCAGGATGGCTGTCCTGGGGAAGTAAAGACAGCCGGCGTAATGGTGACCACATTACTCACCTAATGCTGATTGGTCTGTAAAAATATGGGCGCTATTGCTATATGCCCGATGCGCCTAAAAACGTGAAAAGGGATCTTTACTTTACGTTTTTATGGTAGTAGTAACATATTTATATTTATATTGCTTTTATCATTTTGAAAGCCTAATTGAATTATCCTCTTGCCATTAAAATAGCTCTGCTGACTTTAAGCTGAGAGAAGATGGGGCGTTAAAAAAAATTACTACACAAGGGCGTCATTTATCCTAACTACGGTACTGATGCCAGTATATCTTTGATTTCAGAAACAGCCATAGCCATGTTCAGGATAGCAACAGGCGCCGCATTACTCACTGCGACAATCATTTATTACGTTGTAGACAAGATCATGCATTCACTGAAAGTAGGCAACATAACGGACAAGTATGTGTTTATTACTGGATGTGATTCTGGATTTGGACACCTCGCAGCCAAGTGAGTCCAGTCTGTTTGTTCGTATACATAGTATGTGATGTGAATTCTGTTTTACACCCGGGCGCTCACATACACATACATACATAAATACTACACAGGATTAGCTTGAACCTAGAGGCTTATACCATAGACAGATCCCCCTCCCCCCCCCCCCCAGTTTTAAGGAGGATGTGTGAGGATCCACATGCAAAGTAATTTTACAAGTGGAGAAAAGAGGGTCCTTTAACCGGAAAATGTTTTACTGCTCTCTTCATAAACACATCACCAGTTGTAGGGCAACTGCATTGATTAGTTGGTTGGACTAGTTTACCATGGTCAAGGTTATGGGTGTCGTAGTCTGTTTTTGTCTGGCATTTACGTTTTAACTTTTAAGAAAGAGACGGCATTTGACATAGTTTTTGTCACTCTCTAGGGGCGCTGTGTGTTAGACCCAGTAGCTAAATGTTTTAGAAGTGTTAAAAGCTCTGGCATAGCGAAATTTACAACACGCGGTATGAGTGCGAGTGCGGAAAATCCCTGTGACCTTGTGTGGAAGTCGGATCGCTCGAGGCCGACCTGTCAGGAGTAAGGTGCTCAGTAGGCCGTCCAATCAGAAGCGATATAGTGTGTAGCTGTGTGCTAATGGGAAGACGAGAGTAAAATTTACCCTTTAACCTACTGTTAAAAAAAAAAAAAACAACAACCGGATAGTCACTGAAAGGAACAAACATAGTCCCAATGTTGACATTCTGCATCTTTGTAATGCAGTAAGTGAAATTACTCAAATTTCACAGATGAATACCTTAGGGTTTCACCAATCAATTGACACCTTTTTTTTGCATCTGGGTCACGATAGTTTTTAAGCGTAGCCTTTCCCGTTAGTTATGGTGTGTGGCCTTCTCTTGCGTGGATCAGTGACTGGCATCTACTGGGCATGGATGCGATCAGATGTCTGATGTGGGCCTGTGGGATGGCTGCCCACTCTTCATGGAGTGCCTGGAACAGATCATGACCATTGGCTGGAGCAACGTTTCACGTCTTTGCAGCTCATCCCACAGGTGCTCAAATGGACTCATGTCTGCAGACAGGGATGGCCAGGGAAGAGTTTGAATGTTACTGGCAGCCAGAAACTACGTGGTCAGCTGTGCAGAATGGAGTCTGGTGTTGTCTTGTTAAAAAAGATATCTGTTGGCATTCCAAAATGAAAAGTCATATGGTGGAAGAATTTCATGGACCTATCGTTGCGCATTCAAGCTTCCTTAAATTTGCACCAATTGACTCCTTGCGTTGTAACTGATCATTCCCCATACCATTACACCTCCACCACCGTGCAGCAGAGCTTCATCAACACAATTTTGGGCTGAACCTTCATTTTGTCTATGTTAGACCCTACCACGTATATCATGACGTTGCGACTAAAAAAAAAGATTCGTCACTGAACCAGACACGTCTTCACTTATTTTCACTTGCCCAGGGACGATGTTGACTGGCCCAAAGAAGTTGATTTTGGCGGCGGCGACGCGTAATGACAGTCCTCGGTGTCCTCTAGCCCGAAGTCCAACATCATGCAGTCTGTTCCGAACAGTTTGATCAGACACATTACGTCCTGGAGGCAAGGCCTAGGCAGTTGAGGAAGCTGTTGTAAACCATTCTCTGAGGTGACGAGACCGAATAAAGCGATTCTTCTCTGCTGTTGTCACTCTGGGTCGTCCACTGCGATGTCGGAATTCAACTAAGCCAGTGGCTTGGAACCGGTGCCAAATTCGACTGATTGTAATCTGGTGCACGTTTAGATGGCTGGCAGCCTGACTTTGACTTTCTCCTGCCTGCAATTGGCCAATAGCAGCATTCCTTAAATTTATCGATAGAGGCGGCATTCGTGACTGCTTGAAAATGAACTGATCGTTTTAGCGTTATCCTTTTATAAGGTTTCAATTGCGTAGGAAGTGAACAGTGTTCACCGCAAATTGAGTTGCTTTCTCGTGCGCGCATCGTGAGCTATGCTCACATATATGGTCTTAAACACAATCGACCACTGCGTTGTAATTATTACAAAAACCCCACGCAATTCACGCCCACATGTCCACTGGACACGGTAAACAACATTTGAGTCTGCTTTTCACATACCCGAGTACGACATTTTATTTACAAACTAAAAAAAACGTGCCATTGGATAACTTTGCGTTTTTTTTGTTTTTTTTTTTTTTTTACAGAAGACATTCTTTTTAAAAGTACGTGTTTATACTATTGATATTATTTCAAAAATATATACTATTTTACTTGTTGCCATTACGTACATTATTATTATGCTCAACTAGTACTATGAGACCTTGGTCCCTCAACTCTATTTCTATTTTGTGCACCACATAGAATGGCTTAGCATTGCTGGCACCAAGTAGCCCTGAAAAGGACTCTTGAAGTGTTGATGCGGTCAGAAGAGACAGGCTCGAGTACTGCCCCGACATGGAAGGTTGGCGTCAATCGATCTCAACCTCTACCTGTCTCTTGTCTTGGTTGTACACTCTCTCATATTGTTGTGTGTCCATCTCTTGTTGTTGTCCTCCTACTTGAATCTGTCCACATCGTACTCTCTTGCCCTCGAATTTTCCCTTGAGTGCGTTCTTTTTTTAAACAGCGTTATGTCCTTTAATGTTGCCGAAATATTTCATTTGATTTTTTTTTCAGCAACTCTTTTTTTTTTCCGCAGCCTTCCCTGAACCTATGTGTTTAATTGTTTTGTTTCCATGAACTAAGACCTCTTCTGCTATAAATCCACATTTCTAGACTCAATTCGAAGGTCTTCTTGTAATCTATAAAACATGCACAAATATGTTTCTGAACTTCTAGATAGTTTTCAATTAGCCTCCTTAAAAAAAAGTATAGTTTCCCTAGTGCTGCTACTTTTCCAAAACTCAAACTGTTTTATGTTTAATTTTGTTTTTTGTTATGTGTATGATCTTGAGAAGTATCATAGTTTCATTAAACTAAACGTTCTGTAGTCTTCAGAATCGGCAGTTTGTGACTTGTTGGACAGTGTGACGAAAATATGTCATCAGGTCGTTTGGAATTAATCAGTGTAATATATATCATTGCCTATTACATTGACTATTTCAACGTCAAAGTTTGATAATGATTTTTAACAATTCTATTAGTGTGTCTAAACTGGCTAATAAACAGTATCATGTCTCGGAAGCTGAAATATTTTGGTCATATCAAGCGCCATGGCAGATTGGAAAAAATAATAGCAAAAGGCATGGTACCAGGAAAGAGGGGCAGGGACGACCAGTACGAAGCTGTGTACAGGATATAAGTGACTCCTCGAATATGAAAGTACATGAGGCGGGAGAGCTGGCGAGAAACCGAGTTTCTTTCAGGTTGACAGTGATAAGAGCAACGTTCTGCAAAGGACCTGCTACATGATGATGATTATTGTGTCAGGGCCTTCCCCTGCTTCATATTTTTTATAACCTTCTCCACTTTTAAAATGGCTGGTTAACTTACAGAGGGTTCTTTCACACACAAACACACACACACACACACACACACACACACACACACATATATTATTATATATATATATATATATATATATATATATATATATATATATACATACGAGGCGAGTTTTTAAGTAAGTCCCGTTTTGACCGCAGCTAGAAACAAACAGAGATGGAAATCGTAAATGTAGAAATGCAGTATGTTTATTGGGTTTATTAGCTAGCAGTGTGCTATTTTTTTTTTTTTACTGTCGATATCTTGTTTGATGCAACTCATTGATGCATGTGAGTGATTTTTTTTTTTTTTAAGGTTCCGTATCCTTTATAGGACATTGCAGAACCAACCAAGTATTTTTTGGCTGTTCTGGTTTTTCTAGGCAACTTGACGTCCAGTAGTTGAGTGATTTATAACGAGTGCAAAAAAAAAAAAACTCCCTCCAGCGGCTAGGCTCGTGCTGTGATCTGTTTTTTTTTTTTTTTAGCAAAAAACAAAAATGCTGCAGAAATTCACAGGCAACTCATTGATATTTATGGGCCAGATGTTATGACTGATAGTATGGTTAGGAAATGGTGTCAAATGTTTAAAGAAAGGCGAATAAATATCCATGATAAGGATCTAGTGGTCGGAAGAGTGTGGTGACCGATGATTTGGTCAAAGAAGTGAATCAACAAATTAGGGAAAATCGTCACTTCAAAAATTTTGCATTGTCTGTCGAATTTTTGGAACTTTCCCGTTTTTATGACATTTTAAATCTGAAAAAAAAAAAAAAAAAAAAAAAGTTTCATACTTCGTCCTCTTTGAGCCGTCCGAGGGTCTGCTACACTGAGGACTGGTTCTTTACTATCTGATTTGGATTTTGTTTATTTGTCACCCAAGTTTCATTTCTTAGCTTCCATCATGTCAGCGTTGTCTGGCTTGGCAGGTTTTTTATTGGCTGTTTCCAGTTTTCGGGAGTGGATCAGGCCTCCCTGAAAAGGACTGCCATTTTTTGCCTGGGCGGCCTGGAACGGGAATGGCGGAGGGGGGGGGGTAGGATCTCCTGTGGTTGCAGTGCTTGCGTTCTTCTGAAAGGGCATCTCCTCCTGGTACCTCTGGTCGTCGAGTCGGATTCTAGGCTGAATGATTTGCCGGATTGGGTGGATTTTTGTCAGCTGTTTCCTTCCTGCTGGTCCTGAGAAGGACTAGCAATTTGCCTGGGGCGGCGCTGGAACAGGTGGGTTGGGGGTGCTGGCTATCCAGGGGAGGGTCAATGCGGCTTCTAGTACTGGTGGCGTGCTAGTCTGCCTCGATTGTACAGTTTGTGCCTTGTGGTGTGCTCCACTCCTCTTGCTTCTCTGTTTCATCACCAGTTGTTAGGCTCCGTGCTTTTTCTCTTTTGTCTAGTAGTATGAAGTAGGCTGTATTCGCTTTTTCAGATAGTCTGTAGTTCATATCACGTCTTGTTCTGAACTCACTATCTTATAGGCGTTGCTCTTCTTGCTGCTCGTCCTGGTCTCAGATTAGGTGCAGTGATACTGCTTTCACCTCTAGACTGTGTGGGAACATCTTTTCATTCGCACTTCGGAGCAGTTCTTTAAAGTTGGCCTCCATGCTCTCAAGGCTTTCGTCACCAGTAACCGTTCCTTTATCTGAGTCTGTGCTTTCGGTTTCGGTGGCTGTGCTTTTGTCAACCTTTTGCGTTATTTTGTCGGTGGATGTACATTTGTCAGCCCTGCTGATACTTGGTTTCTTTGCCGCTTTGCTGGAGATCTCTCTCTCTCCTTCTCTAGTAGGACACGCTCCGTTCTGGCCGCTAGCTCTGCTGCTTCGGCTTCTGCTTTTGACTGCACAAGTAGGGCGACTTCTTTATAGGAGCACTCTCGGGCTTTCTTGAGTACTGCAATCTCCTTTCTTCTCTCCCCTTTTTTTTCTTGTTTGCGCGCCTCTTCTGCTGCTTTTTTTCAGCCTTGAGATTCGGAGTCATTTCTCGCTTGTTTTTCTGCGTTTGTTCATCCTCTGCTAGCCACTTTGCTTGCTGTGAGACTGGTTCTAGCCTGTCTTCTTTCAAAGCCTTAATTTCGCCAAGTATCTGTGAGATCAGGTATAGCAACTGGATTCTGTCAGGGTTATCATCGGTTATGTCAATCTTTTGTTTATGGAGAAATCTGAGTTCAGCTATTATCTCAGAAATTTGTGCACGCGAAACCTTAGATTTATAAAAATAAAAATGATGTCCCATCCAAAACAAAAGATGTGGGTTGCTGTTCTCTGGAGTTGTGCTTTTTCACGACGATGCTGGACCTCACGTCGCAGATGGAACCGTTCAATTGTTGCAAAGAATTTCACTTGGAATTGGTTGACCGCCTGCTCTACAGCCCTGATCTGGCGCTAAATGATTACCATCTTTTCATGCACCTAAGGAAATGGCTGGTATCCCAGCGGTTTGACACTGACGATAAACTGCAGACAGGCGGTAATGAAGGGTTCAAAACTCTGACGGCAGACTTCTATGACATTGGAATTAAGAACCTGGTGCCAGTATAAGAAAAAATGTGTTGAAGTCACTGGTGACTATGCTGAGAAATAATGTAAATGTGTGGTTCACTTTTGGGTGTAGTAGTTCATTTTTGTATATGATAGCTTATTTTAAAATTGTAAACATGGACTTACTTTTAAAAAAAACGCTTCTCATGTGTGTGTGTGTGTGTGTGTGTGTGTGTGTGTAGAGGCCTAAGCAATTCTATGTGTGTGTAAGCACCGCTTGTCACTCATTATTAGGTATGTGATTGTGTGTAATATTTTCAGTGCAATGAACATTGAGTTTCAAGTCTGCGAAAGGAATATGCTTTCACAAGTTATTCATTTAGTGGTTTTCTAAAGTTTCTTTTTTTTTGGGGTCAATAGCCTTGTCGGAGCGATATGTATTCTAAATAGACGACAGCTTCATAGCGGTGTGGTATGTGTGTGTACTATTGTAACTGTCGGTCGAAATAATGAACCTTCATAAAAATACTTGCTCCTTCTCCGGCACCAGACAACTTGACAAGCTCGGTTTCCACGTCTTTGCTGGCTGTTTAACAAAAGAGGGAGCCAAGTCTGTGAGGGAGAGCTGTTCCAGTCGAGTGACCACAGTTGAGCTGGACGTTAGAAGTACAGAGAGTATACAACAAGCGGTCAAGCAGGTAGAAAGTAGCCTTCCTCCAGGCACAGGTCAGTGGTTTATTCAGGCAGGCTTTTAAACACAGTGCCCGCCCCTCCCCTCCCCATTTCCACTCTCGCCACAAATATTGACAATTATGTCCCCCTTGTAAGCACATCGCCGCAACGTCCTTTGTTTGTTTATTGTGATCGATTTTGTAAAGCTAACATAAACTAATTGTTGTTTCTTACCAACTTTTTCTCTTCCCTATAATTTTCTACTCCTTATATAAGCACTGATAGGAACTGTCACTAAACATCTTTGCCCAAGTGTAGCTAGCTGTTCGTTAACTATTGGATTGTATTCTTTGTTCCAGAACTTGACTTTTGCATGCATATCTGTTTATTGACACTGTTTTGTCTTAACGATATCTCTTAAGATATGGTTTATTACAAGTAAATATGGGAGTCACCGTGACGTTGGCGGCTAGACGCCCGACTGCCGATCGGAAGGTCCTGAGTTCGCTTCCTAACGGAGCTGAACTATTTTTTTTTTCTTCAAAAATGACTCTGACTTCCAGGTCGACCCAGCCTTGAATGGGTACCAGGGGCAGTTCTGGGAAGTAAAGGCGGCCGGTATGATGCTGACCACATCACCCACCAAGTGCCAGTTGGTCTATGAAAATATAGGTCTATCTATATCTTCCCAACACGCCTGAAGGCGGGGAAAAGGCACATATACTTACAAGTTCAGATAAATTCAATTTCAATAGTGCTCGACATCAATTTCAATAGTGCTCGACATCAATTTCAATAGTGCTCGACATCAATTTCAATAGTGCTCGACATCAATTTCAATAGTGCTCGACATCAATTTCAATAGTGCTCGACATCAATTTCAATAGTGCTCGACAGCCTTCTTAAAACTCACTCAACCTCCCCAACCCCCTCCCCCAATCAGGTCAGAGAATACTACCCTAAAATGTAGCTTATTAGGTTTATATGTAAATGCAACTCTGGATATGATGCACCGCTTGACCTAGATCGTCCATCCACACCGTCAGTATTAGTAAACTATCAAATCTTTACCGGCGAAAACATGAAATGCAAATATTATAGATATTGATCAACTGAATGCACTTTAGGAAATATCAAATACAAAAATTACTGCAATTAACAATTCTTATCTAACATAACTGTCACAAAGAAACCAGACCACAATTATAACCGATACTTCTCGCAGTAGGTTGAACGTGGTCAATTTTCTTTTCTTTATAAATGGATGAAATGGATTCACCGTGAGCAGTTTCATATATTAGTATAAAATGCTCCAACTTTTAAGTTCACATCGATGAAATGCCAACATATCCATGGATGAATAAGAACACGACACATCCTTCTGCACTGGGTTCCATCTCAAGATGATGTGTGCACTATTAGTACTTTACTTTTGTGATGCTAGAACAATAATCCATTGCTGGTTTCATAATGATAAAAGCAATAAAAATATTAACATTTTTATTTAACCCAGTTACATTTTACCGTCTTCAAGATTTACCCCACTCCTCAAGCAAACAACAACAAAGGTTTCCCCACACTGTGCAGCTGCACATGTTGTACATGCTGAAAACGATCATGTAATACGTTTGGAAGACACCGAGGGACCCTTTTCCACACATTCAGGCCTTATGTGCATATAGGGCTAGACCTTTATTTTATTGACCAGTTGATACTTGGTGGTGATGTGGTCAGCATAACACCGGTCGCCTTTACTTCCCAAGCCTTTACACAGTACCCATTTGAGGCTGGGTCGACCTGTCAGTTTTGAAAATAGTCCGGCCCCGTCTGGACCTGGAACAAAGCAAGCTGGAAAAGTTGACAAATCAGAAGAGCACTGCTCCGTACGTCCCCGGTCGTAACTAATATTATCATCAAAATGGACGCTAGGCACGGTCACTGTTGTGAGGCTTTGCAAATTTTGTTGCTTCTGCCAGACGGTGGCCAGTGCATTTGTGCTCCATTTGTAGACTGAAAGAATAGTTTCGTCGCCCATCTTCTGAGTGCATGGCATAACACTGTGAGCTGCGGATTTCATTTGGAATGTTTTTCGACTGTGACCAACGTGGTGGTGTGAATTGTAGAATCAGAAAACGGCGCGATGTCTGTTGTTGGAATATTAGTGGTGCCATTGTGTGATTAAAATTGATCGCGTGTGCAACTGCTGATCTGTTGGTGACTTCTGCTACCATCCATGATGAACTGCATTTCTTATGTCAGACTGTTTGTGTTAGCACTTAGGATGGCTACTGTATGCTTTTAATGCGTGTGTATGCTAGTGCATTTGCTGAGACAGCAGTCTGTCAATCTTTCCACAAGGGACTGTGAGAAACATTTTGTGTGTTTTTCGTTGGCACAGGAGCGGAGCAACTATGGGGTGATTCGTTTGCTATGAAGCTCAAACTAAGATTCCCAGATTACCAGATTAATATTATCATTGGCAAAAATGTCTGTATGTGTGAGTGTATGAAATAATGACCTGCACTGGTTTGTTCATAACATGGTCATCGCCAGTTTTGATGACTTTCTGATTGATGTGATTATTCTCTCCCTCTACTGATAAGAGACTGGTATGCCAGATTGTTCTTCAGTTGTACCTTCCTTAGTGGTATGCCAGATTGTTCTTCAGTTGTACCTTCCTTAGTTAGTGGTATGCCAGATAGTTCTTCAGTTGTACCTTCCTTAGTTAGTGGTATGCCAGATTGTTCTTCAGTTTTACCTACCTTAGCTAACAGATCAGCCTTCTTGTTTCCGGGGATTCCACAGTGGGTTTGTATTTACTGCATAGTTACTTTACACAAGTTTCCCAATTCGGAGAGTAAGTAAAGGTAAGTAGTAACGGACCCTTTTCCACGCCTTTAGACGTATAGGGCATATAGGGTTAGACCTATATTTTATAGACCAACGGCACAAGATGGAAGATGTGGTCAGCATCACGCCGGCCGCCTCTACTTCCCGGGACTGCACCCGATACCCACTCAAGGTTGGGTCGACCTAGGAGCCAAGGTCATTTTTGAAGAAAAGTCCGGCTCCGCCAGGTAGCGAACCCACGACCTTCCGATCCGCAGTGAGCGTCTAGCCGCTCCCCACGGGGACTCCCAATTCGGAGAGTAGTGTCTGTAAACGTGGTGATTTTCCAGACTGTAGTGCCCGAACCGTGAGCATGTATGTCATGTTTATGTATTCATTCTTAAATGGAATAATTTAACAATGATTAGTTTCAGTAATTTACAATTCACCTACAAAATGTTACATACAATAACCTGTTAATTTCATCTAAAGGAATATGGGCCTTGATAAACAATGCAGGGATTATAGGCCTAGCTGCCCCGGCAGAGATGTGCAGCAGAGAGGACGTTCAGGAGGCCCTCAGTGTTAATCTTCTGGGACCTATAGACGTGACACGGCACTTTCTACCTCTCATCAGGAAATCTCAAGGTCGGATAGTGAACACTTCAAGTATTGGTGGTCGTGTGGCTGTGGTATCTATTCCTTACACCGTCTCAAAGTTTGGGGTGCAAGGATTCTCAGAAAGACTAAGGTAAGTAGGGTGTGTACATTTGACCTTCATCTTTGCTAGGAAATGTGACATTTTCAATTAGTTCATCATTTATTGTTATTTTATTGGTATGTATGACCTATATATGTCGGCTCTGGGGCTAAGTCGATGCGAACGCTTCGTAATGCTGGGATGCCGGGTTCGATCCCAGCTGCGGGCCACGCGCCTTGCGTTGGTTTCGACAGTGGTATCAAGAAAGCCGACCGCCCAGAAAGCAATGGCAAACTACTGGACGTAAATTTGCCTAGAGAAACCACACAACAGCCAGAGGCTGTTAGGGTTAGTTCTGCAACGTCCTGTAAAGGATACGCAACTGACCTTAATGACCTTTATATACATACATACATACCCAGAAAAAAACATTAAAATATTTATTTGCCATTTACCATGCACTTCTTACGAACTAAACTAAATGGTGGGTTACTTGTAGTCTGCTGATCTGGCAGGGTTGTAGTTTTTCCACATCATACACGAATACTCTTTCTTTTGATGCTATGCTCTGCTTCATGGGCGACCTTTATATCTTGGCTGTAATAAAATCACTCACTACTTAATTGTCGAATGGCGTATATACACAAACAGGCAAACATACGTACATGCGCGAGCTTGCCTTTGATGTATACACAGGCGAATAGGTTATCATCATGTCATCTTGGTCCTCTGGTACCTTGCCGTGTCTAGATGAAGTATAATTTACAGGAAAGCGCCCGTTTGTATGCTTCGTAAATTGGGATTTTGAGGGACTCTGTAATTCCCTCTGTCCATAACTTGCATGGCCGGCCTCTTCTTCGCTTCCCGCCTGGTCTACATTGCTTGCTGTGGTATACTGTATACCCACATCCGCGTTATATAGCCAAACCATTTCACCTGTTGTCTTCTGATGAAATCCAGAGGTGCTGTTACCCCTATTTTCTTTCGGATTACATCGTTTCTGATCTTATTACTTCTTGTTATATTGAGAGTCTTTCGCAGGAATCTCATTTCAGTTGTAGTTGTTCTTCTATCTTTGTCATTTTTTAGGTCCGGCATTGGCAACACAGGGTTGGCAATAAGATTGTGTTATCCAGTGCATTTTTGGCTTCTATTGATACGTGTTTTTTTTTTTTAGCATTGATGCCATTTACCCACGAAGTGTGTTTGCTTTGTTACATCTGTCATCGATCTCATCTTCTGTTTTGCCAGCTGATGCTTCCTAAGTATGTGAAGAAGCTCTTGGTTTGTTTCTGAGGGTGTTCTGTTAATTTGATATTTATTGTTTTGCCTTCTTTGGTCATGACATCTGTTTTGCTAGCGTTACTTTTTATGTTATGCTCTTTGTAAATTTGGTTTAAATAATGTATATGGTCTTGCAATTCAGTTTCTGAAGTAGCAATTTGTGCTGGTCGTCTACCAATAGTAGTTCTTTGATGAAATTTTTTGGCTTTGGATGTTCATCTCCTTGGTATATTTTAGTAATTTTTTGGCTGTTTTTTTTACAGATGTTATCAATGCTAGTTAGGAAGAGAAGAGGAGACAGGACACAAACCTGCCTACTCCAGATTTGATGTTGTAAATATATTGTATATTGTATACTGTATTTAACTCAAAAAGGCATTTAGTCATTGTTCGTGTCTCTTTTGTGTGATGTAGACGCGAGGTCTCGCAACAGGACATTAAAGTATCTATCGTAGAGCCAGGAGCCTTTCGGACACCAATTGTAAACGTAGACAAAATCGTACAAGATGTCCAAGAAGCATTCAACAAGCACAGTCCAGATATACAGGATGTCTACGGAGGTCCTGAGCTAATAAACAGGGGTAAGTGTAGATGGTTAAGATAATAGAATACTATAAGAATGTGTCGTATTAAATCACATATCAAATCACATATGTCTCCTCGATGATCTCTATTTGTAGTGTGAACTGAAATGTAATATTAATATTTTTGTAATATCCCGTTTTCAGCTCTAAATATTGGTGAGATGTCCCGTTTAAACCTCAAAATATTAAGGGGGAAATGTCCCGTTGTTAGCTCAAAATATTAGTGGGATGTGTTGTTTTCAGCACAAAATATTGGTGGCATGTCCTGTTTTGATTCAAGTGTATTATGGTCCGTTTTGCCGTGACAAAAAGTATGTCAAAAATAGCTTCGCGTTGTCTTCCTCTGCCGCTTTTTATTAAGATCTCTCCAGTGCTCACAACAACATGTTCCAGTTTTCTTCTTCTCATAACATGGTCCCCCCACCCCTTCCCCTCCCCTCCCCCAAAAATGACGACTTTCTCTTTCTGATGTTTCTTAATATGCCGTCTTCGAGCCCTCGTCTCTTTCAAAACATCTGGGTTGATATTTCTGGCTGTCCATGGAATTCAAATGATTCTTTTGTACAACCACATCATCGAGGGCTCATAAAGTTGTGAAGAGCTGTATACCTAATTTTTGTTTTGTTTTGTTGTTGTTGTTGTTTTTTTTTAAATATATATATTTTTTCACAAATGAATAGAAATATCTTTTAATTTTTACTTATCGCATTTGAACGCCAAACAATATTTTGTAATTTGTTTCTTGAGATAATTTTTAAAAAAACACTGTTTTCCAGTGCGTGCATTTTACACTGCGGTTCAGACGTCAAGTACAGCAAACATAGAACCTGTTGTCAAAGCTTACATCCACGCAGTTGCATCCAAGTATCCGCACAGAAGATACAGACCTGGCTGGGACGCCAAGTGGTACTTTAGTCCACTGTGTTTACTCCCTGACAGCATCGCTGATCTTGTGCTGGGTCCTGCCGCCTAAATAATCTGCATCTCTCTCTCTTTCTCTCACGCTTTCTCTCTCTCTCTCTGTCTATCTCTCTCTCTCTTTCTCTCACTCTTTCTCTCTATCTTTCTCTGTATACTTCTCTTTCAGTCTCTCTCCTTTGTAATATCATCATCGACCTACTGTACTACTACCACTACTACTACTTCTGCTGCTGCTGCTACTACTACTACTACTACTACTACTACTACTACTACTACTACTACTACTACTACTACTACTACTACTACTACTACTACTACTACTACTACTACTACTACTACTACTACTACTACTACTACTACTACTACTACTACTACTACTACTACTACTACTACTACTACTACTACTACTACTACTACTACTACAATACAACAACGACTATTACTAACACTGCTACTGTTGCTTTCTACTATTGTTTCTATTGTCATTGTTATTACTACTGCTGCTCCTATCACTGCTTCTACTATTTTTGCTGCTACTACTGTTACTACTATCACTACTGCTATTTCTACTTCAACTACTGTTACTTCTACTACTTATAATAGTATTACTGCTACTCCTACTACTACTGCTGATACAACTAATACTGTTACTACAGTTAACAGCATAAGCACTACCACTCTAGGTTTCTGATGTTTAAATCTGATACATTTTGAAACGTATCATAATCTTCTTAGTTGAGAAACATTGCGTATTGTTTAGATTTATCCCCAAAATTGTTTATATAGGTTAACATACATTTCTATTTCAAGCACGTGTGTTGGTGTTGTGTATGAGTGTATATATATATGTGTGTGTGTGTGTGTGTGTGTGTGTGTGTGTCTTTATGAATGCGTGCGTGTTCTATTTGTTGTTGTTGTTGTTATCGATCCAGCGGCGCATGAGCTTTCGCCCTTTGGCCCAATGCCATGTAGTGGAATTTGCATGTTTTCACAAGCTGTTCTTTTCCTCCGTACAAGGTGTTCCACTTGCCTGGTTCTATTTCAAATATGATTAATATCCGTAAGGATATAATTTAAGTATTATTCTATCCCAACAAGCATATCTTTAAAAATAAGCGTATAAATACTGGAATGTCATGTGAAGTCTGAAGTCGCCGTGGCAGAGCGGCTAGACGCTCGCCTGCTAATAGAAGGTCGTGGGTTCGCCCTCTGGCGGAGCCGGACTTTTTGTCAAAAATGATCTTGGCTCCCAGGTCGAACCAGCCTTGAGTGGGCACCAGGTGCAGTCCAGGGAAGTAAAGGCGGCCGGCGTGATGCTGACCACATCAACCCCCTTGTGCCGATTGGTCTATAAAATATAGGTCTAGCCCTATATGCACAATACGCCTAAAGACGTGGAAAAGGGTCCTTTACTTTTGACGTTACATGTGAATTCGGCGTACATCTCCTTCAGAGGCGAGGACTCCTAAAGTTTACATATATCAGTCAGATCTGTAAAATGTATGTGCTTACAAAACTCAAGTCTGGAACCAGCTGCTGTGAACAGCAGATTCTGAAAATGGCGTGTGGACTTGTGCCCCAAAACTGCTGATTGCTGGTAACTACTCCTTACATTGACGATGAACTACAATTCTATTCGCAAACTGTTTGTGGTTGGATACTTTTATATATATCTAGAAACATAAATGTACAATTGTGTATCATAAAAAATAAAAGAGAGCTGTTGTTTTCATAATTATATACCAATGAATACTTAGTATATATGTGTTTTTCAATTGAATTACAGTATACAAATAAGAGATCATACTTTTGACAATGCATGTCGATTATTAATTTTGTTATTCAGGATCCCCACGCTCTTATTATTCAAGACTAGCAGTACCCGGCCACACGTTGCTGTGGCCCAGAATGGTGAAATGGAGAGGAAAGAAAATTGCTCTCAGCTAACAGTGTCTGTCATACCCCCCCCCCCCCTCCTCGACCCAGTCATATCTCCCTCTCCAAAGGATTGAAAAATCATCCATGGCGAAATTATTAAAGTATAATTAGTTAAGAAATGAGAACTTTAAAATAATATTTTAAGCTTTCTCAGCTAACTGTGTCTGGCATAACCCCCTCCCCCCTTTCCACGAATCATATCTCCCTCTAAGTAGGATTGACAAATCATGACCTGGTGAAATTTTAAAAATAGAAATAGTTAAGAAATGAGAACTTTAAATTAATATTTTAAGCTCTCCCAGCTAACTCTGTCTGGCATAACCCCCTACCCCTCCACCAATCATATCTCCCCCCCCCCCCTCCAATCATATTTCCCCCCTCCCCTCCATCAATCATATCTCCCTCTCCGAAATATTTGAAAAATCATCACCTGGCAAAGTCATATCTCCCTCTCCGAAGGACTGAAAAATCATCCATGGCGAAATTATTAAAATAGATATAGTTAAGAAATGAGAACTTTGAAATAAAATTTTAAGCTCTCTCAGCTAACTGTGTCTGGCAAAAACCCCCCCCCCCCTCCCCTCCCCTAATCATATCATCCTCTCCGAAGGATGGGACAGTCACCGTGTAACGAAATATTGTAACTAAACAGAGCTTGGCATCCGTGTCCACCCAGACTTAAATAGGTAGCATTAACTTGTACAGATAAGTAAATGTAGCCAGTGTAACAGCTACTACATTACCCATCCAGTACCAGTACTACTGCAACCACTACCACCACCACCATCACAACTACAACAACAAAAACTGTCACTACAGTCTGTGTATGTCGGTGTAGAAAAGAGGAGTTAGTGCCGCATGCTGTCGCCACGGACTATTTAGTTCAATGTTGCCCCCGACATAGAAATAACAAAAAACTTCATCACGTAACCAGTGATGGAACCCACAGTCAAAAGTACACTATACTAACGAATAGCGGAGAAAAATAACCCGCACCCGTCATCTCTCCCTCTCCGAAGGGACGATTCTTAACTGACCTTGGAATCCGTGTCCACCCAAACCAAACTGGACTGTAAGCCGTCTTAGTTAACAGTTTCTGTCATCGCCGAATAGTTTTTGTTTGAGAAACGTCGCAGGGAGGCTAATTAGGACCTAACTGAAATCTGATGTCTTTGGGCGAAAGGCGCTGCAAACTGTAAAGCTGTAAACCACAACACAACGTGGAAACCACCCTTTTAAGGGAAAAAGAACAATTATCACCCAGCGGGCAATCGAACACTGGTTACCTGTATGAAGGATGACATACTTACAACTATAACTACCGACGACTGAAGAGTTTAGGTCAGATATCGCAGCCTAGCTGTGAACCACAACGTGCCAACGGCCCTCTCGAGGGCGAACGAAGATAACCCGTGACATGACCATTGAGCATCATTTCGCCGCTGCCGCAGGCTAGCTGTAAACCCCAAACCGAAAAGGCGTAGATATCGCAGCCTAGCCATAAACAAGAACACAACGTGCCAGCCTCCCAGTTAAGGGCAAAGGCAAATTATATAACCTAGTGGGAATCGAACGCGGGTCAACACGCATGATAGGCAAAATAGCTACCAACTACGCTAGCAAACACTCAAGCAGATAGTGGAAATGCAGTTATTTAATAACGCAAAGTTCAATAAGAGCTCAGCAGTCAAATATGGTAAATTAACTGAAAACAAATCCGGGCCGGCAACGAAACAAATAATGATTTGACCGTTGCTGGAGCTACGTCGTTCGTGGTTTGTGCGATTTTCTGACAAAAAATGAAGCTTGGAGTCAAAGGCAACGGTTGTGTGCAAATTTGAAAGCAATCGGTTCAGTAGTTTCCGAGTTTTTAGCTAACAACATCGGAAAATTACCATTTTTATTAATGTAGATATGCAATTGTACATGCATTTTGCAAAGAAAAATATTTAATTTCTCATATCCAATAAACTATAGTGGTAATTGTTTGTCTCTTTGTAATGCAATAATTGCTTTTTTTTTTTTTTTTCAAATGAAAGCTCTTCAAAAAAGTAGTATTTAAAAAAATATGTATCTATATTCTAAGCTTTGCGTAATTACTCAAAGCAATCTTTTTTTAAAATCACTTTTTGTTTTGTCGTTACTGACCAGAAGGTCAGAGCGCAGCGACACGGCTTATCACGTTCCCTAGAATTTGTTCACGAATCTCTTCCCAACAGGGTTCACATAGCCACCTCTATCCTACACTCAGCAGCAAGGCTACACATATAGTACTCATAACTATAATGTACTTACCCATGCTCAAGGACATTTTCGGATGATGAACTTTTTGCCTACATGGTTAAGAATTCAAGCGCCAGCACGAATTCGTAGGAAAATATTACCCACCACAGTATGGTAGCAACATACGCTAGCTATTCATTCAGAAAAGTAAGTAAAAAAAGGTAAAGGTCGTTCCTTTTCCACGCCTTTAGGCGTATAGGGCATATAGGGCTAGACCTATATTTTTATAGACCAATCGGCTAAAGATAGTTGATGTGGTCAGCATCACTCCAGCCGCCTTTACTTCCCGGGACTGCACCCGATAGCCATTCAAGGCTGGGTCGACCTAGGAGTCAAGGTCATTTTAAAAAAAAAGTCCGGCTTCGCCAGCGAGGAGCCCAAGACCTTCCGATCCGCACGCGGGCGTCTAGCCGCTACGCCATGGTGACTCCCATTCAGAAAAAAGTATCCATAAAATGTTTGAGCTGTATAGGTTGTCTTAGTAATAGTTTTAAAATCAAAGACAACATTTTCTACCAACACTAATTCACGGCAAAATGCAACCTCTTTGAACCTCATGCATAATAAAATGCTATTCTTTCCAACTTCAATAACGCCATCGTGATATCACAGACTTTCTATCAATGTAATTTTTTAGCGGAATATTACTAAACAACATTGCAATATCATCTACAAATAGTGTGTTTGCATTATGTGAGTTCAATGGATTGCAAGGAAACTGTTTAAAAATCGAAGGCAAGCACCGTGAGTGATTTTAAAGTCCATGCAGTGTGGCGTTGGTAGTCATGTATATCCGCAACCTTTATGTACTTTCAATCAACTCTGACACAGATGATCCTCCATGCCATGGTGTCAGACTGTCTAGCATCTGTTCTTTCGGTCTCACTTTCCCTCTCCTCCAACTGTCCTACCGTCACGATGTACTCCAGTTTTCTTCTTCTCATTCACACGACAAAATAATGTAGATTGTCTCCTTCTGATGTGGGCAATCAGTTCTCTTTGTGAGTCAGTTTCTTTCAAGACAATCTAATTTTCCTTTTCATCTGTCCAGGGTATTCTCATCATTCGTATATAAAACCACATCTCCGCAGCTTCCAAAAAATGTTTTCACCAATCTATTAACTAACCATAATTAACTTCCATATATGAGATAGGATTTATAAAGCTTTATATTGTGAGTGATCTTAATGAAAGATTTTTAAAAAAAAACAAGTATAAGAAAAAAATGTCAAAAAAAAAAATAATAAAATTATTAATTTAAAAAATAAAAAAAAAAATCTTTTTAAAGGAATAAAATAATTCCTGACTAATAATATATATTATCCGTCTTGAATTGCCCCAGGTAATAGTCGTTATAGGTATAAATTTAATACAATCGTTATGCGTACATATATACAGTGGAACCTCGCTTAACGAGCATGTTTCGTTCTAGAATTATACTCGTTAAGCGAAACACTCCTTATGCGAAACAATTTTTCTCATTTAAATTAATGTAAAATACGATAATGCGTTCCATGTCGAAACAAATACTCACAAAATGCTATGTATAACGTTTATTTATAAAAAATTATATACATATTGTTAAGGATAGTGATTCATCTTCATCTTTTCTTTAAACGCGGAACGGACCCACCTTGAATGCAAATTCGATTTGCATAAAAAAAAAGGTCGAAATATTTATAAAACATACCTAATTACTTATTTGACTTGAAAGATGTCCAGAGACATTTGTTTTTTTCCGACGCTTCAAAATTTGGCGAAAATGCGATACAACATTTTCATTAAATACATTTGCAACGCGGCATAGCCACTTCCTTATTAGGGAGATGCTTCTCACTTTGAAATGCAACAGTTTCCCATTGTTTCAGAATTTCTCTTAGTTCGCCAGAAGATTGTTGCTTTACTGTTACCTCCTCCTTCTCCTCTGACAAACTTTTCTCCAAAACATCTTGCTGTGAAACACAATGCAACTCCATAAGCTCTTCTATGGTTAACTCTTGGCTGTGCTCTTCCACAAGCTCTTCGATATCACTGTTATCCACCTACAATCCCATGATAGTGGCCAAAGACACAATCTCGTTGACTACAGGTTACCCAGGTACTGTCTCGAACCCTCAAAGTCACAAATCGACAACGCTCTCCCGCCAAAGCTTCTTCCAAGAAGTTAGGGTTCTCTTGATAACCCCTTTCCCTGCCTTGTCGATCATCTTGAGGCAGGCAACGATGTGAAAATGATTCTTCCAAAACTCTTTGAGAGTGAGGTTGGTCCCTTCAGTCACCTGAAAACAATGCTCGAAGATTGCTTTAGTGTAGAGCTTTTTAAATTTAGAAATAACTTGCTGGTCTATGGGCTGAAGTAACGGAGTGGTGTTGGGAGGCATAAACTGGACCTCGATGAACTTAAAATTCTTCAGAGAGGTCTCTTGTAGGCCTGGAGGATTCATGTACACATATCACAATGTAACACAAATTTGAGAAAATTTGTGATTACAAGCGACACTACGAGGATACTGGAACGAGTGCTAAACACAGACTGATGTAACATGCGCACAATCCGGGAATTCCCCTCTTTTCGCCACTCGTTATGCGAAACGTCGCTCGTTAAGCAAGTCATTCTTTTACAATTTGTTTTGCTCGTTATGCGAATTACTCGTTATGTGAGGTGCTCTTTAAGCAAGGTTCTACTGTATTGTTATATGTATATTGCTACCAGGGAACCCTGCACGCTTTTATTAGCCTTGATAAAAAATTGTGCATGACTTTGTGAAGAAAACTATTTAATCTCTTGTGTCAACAAACTATATGATAGATTATATATGGTGGTGCTGGTTTTTGGGTTCTGTAATAGAAAAAATTAGGCGTGATTTGTTAGTGGGGGATATATATGTTATAAACGATACAGTTTAGTGGATATGAAAATAGATTTATAGGCAGCAGTGACGAGCGACGGAAGGGGCCATTTTAGGGTTTAGATAAAGAAACCTAGGAAGATGTCTTGATGACCGGGGATATAAGAGAAAGGACGGCTTGGGCGCCATCATCATCATCTGTGTCATGGTATTGAATGCCGGCAGCTCAAGGATGGTTTGAGCTGTAGTAAAAAGGAGAACGTACGACAGAAGGGTGGATGTCTTTTCAAAGTGTTAGATGTTGGTAGTTTAGGTTGTAGTAAAAATGAAAACTTAAGCAAAATGCGGCCCGGCTGTTGTGACATATTATTTAATGCCGGTCACTCAGGGAGGGTCTGAGTTGAAGTAAAAAGGGGTGTTTATGGCAAAAAGGCGACCTTTGTGTCATAGTAACGAATGCCGGCCACTCAGTGAGGGTTTGAGTTGAAATAAAAAAAAAATAGAAGGTACGACAGAAGGGCGGGTATCTCGACATAGTGTTAAATGCTGGTAGTTTAGGGAGGGTTTAGTTTGTAGTAAAAATGAAAACTATAGCAAAATAGCGATCGCTGTGACATATTATTGGATGCCGGCCGCTCATGGAGGGTTTGAGTTGAAGTAAAAAAGAGGAATACTGAAGAAGAATGGCGACCTGTGTATCATAGCAGAGAATGCCGGCCGCTCAGGGATGGTTAAAGCTGTAATAAAAAGGAGAATGTATGGTAGAAAAACAGGTTCCTTGTCACAGTGTTAGATGTTGGTAGTTCAAAGAGGGTTTGAGTTATAGTAAAAATTTAAAAAAAAACCATAGCAAAACGGCAGCTGTTGTGACATACTATTGCATGCAGGCCGCTAAGAAAATAGCAAAATGGCGACCGGTGTGTCATAATGTCGGGTTCTGGCCGTACAGATATGGTTGAGCTGTAGTAAAAAAGGGGACCTGTTGTGTCATAATGTTAGATATCGCTGCTCGCGGCGAGTTTAAGTTGTAGGTCAGAGGCGGCGCTACCACTTTGCTATTTGATCACACCTCAATACACACACACAAACACACACACACACACACACACTGATATGAGCGCACGCAAAATACACGTGTTTTAACACTGGTAAACAAAACGATGTGAGAAAATGAAACAGAATGTTTCTAAACTAAGGACATTGTGATAGGTATTTAAAGATTTAAAATGTAACAGACTGGAACCTCAGAAACCGAGGACAGGCGCCTCAGTAGCAGCAGCAGTAGTAGATTAAGAGGATATTATAAGAATAGGAGAGGAAGGGACAGAGAGATCGTGATATGGGATAGACAGGGGAAGGCAGAGAAAAAGATAAACGGAGGTTGAGTTAGTTGCGTATTCTTTACAGGACATTGCAGAACCAACCATAGCATTTTGTAGCCGTTGTGGTTTTTCTAGGCATATTTTACGTTCAGTAGTTTGCCGCTGCCCTAAACGGTCAGCGCTCAGTACCACTGTCAAAACCAACGCAAGACAAACCGTCCGCAGCTGGGATCGAACCCGGCACCTCGACATTAGGAAGCTAGTTCGCAACGCCTAAGCAACAGATGCCGACGGAAGTTGAGAGGTAGAGAGAATGAGAGAGACACAGAAAACGGGAGCCAGACAAAAGGGAGAGATATAAGAGACATAGTGAGAGAGATGCGAATTATTTAGGCGGCAGGACCCAGCACAAGATCAGCCAGACTGTCAGAGAGATAAGTTACTGGATTGTAAAACCATACAGCGTCCCAGCCGGGCCTGTATCGGGTACGAGGAAACCTGGAGGTAATGGCATGCACGTTTGCGTTGACGACAAGTCGTAGGTCTTCTAATGCTCCCGATTTCGTCGAAGAGAGAACGTTACGCACTGAAAATAAAAATAAAAAAATAATAATAATTGGTGAAAAGTGAGTTAATAAATTTGGGAAATAATTGAACTCTTAGAATATCTATCAAGGGCTAAAATAAGATCTTCGCCTGCACAGTCCATGGAGACTGCACCGGTCACGCGGCTCTAAATCCCCAGGTTCAAGAGACCTTCTTCACCAGTCTTACACCACCATAGGCACGAAAACTTGGCGGGTTGGTCCTCTTGATCCTCCATGCCAACAATTTTTGGAGGCCCTCGGCACCCCCCCCCCCTCTCCCCTCCGCCCCCTTAAAACAACTTATCCTTTTGTGGAATACACTGTTTGGACATTTTGCAGCTCCACCCTGGCTCTTACCAATATAGCCCGGCCATAAATATGGCCTAATGGCTGAACGCGGTTTCCTAGTCCTCTCCACGGGTAATCCTCACCCGCATGGTTGCACTTTGTGTCATCGGGTGTTTATCGCTTGTATGATGTCCTAGTGGGGTACAAGTACTACTACTACCTGGGTCTAGGGGTACAGAAAGACCCCCAGTAACCATGAATATAAATTGTCTTTAAAGGTTTTTGCTTATACATTTCTTATTATTTCAAGTAGTTTTTTGCCATTAAAGGCATGGAAATTACTATACACTTGTTCAACATGCAGAAGACAGAGAAAGATGGCGGGTTTTGTGTGACAGTGCTTCCATCGATACACTTCCACGACCCTAACGGATCACGATTTATGCTATGTTTAACACATTAATAATAATGATAATAATAATAGTAAAAATAATGTATCAAACGGCAAACAATTATAATACACCCCCCCCCCCTTTTTCCCAAATTATTTGCCTAGTAAATGTATGAGTGGTTAGGAGGACATGATTGGGAGGAAGGGGAAAAAAGGGGGGGGGGTGAGCTTGAGCCCTTTTTTTTTTTTGAGGAGCAGGAGAGAGACTGAAAGGGTCAGGCCTCCACACCGTTTGTGGTGCCTTAATCAGACTGTGATGAACATTTGTATAGCTGTTACGCCACAGCCGCTGCTATTGTTTCCTTAACTCTTTCAGTTTCAGTGAGCTTAGTAGCAGAGGCCCAAGATGTAATAAAAAAGGGACACAGTCGGAGCACATTGCGTTCATTGGGCTTTTAGGTAGGAGCCTGTAAACGTATGACGCGTTCGTTAGGACTGAAATAGTTAACCAATTCGAAAGGGAAAAAAAAAACACAGTTAAGTCTCCAACATTTATGTTATAGTTTAATCCGAGACATAGTTCCCCGTTGAGAATATTAAATAATGAACATTCAAAGACTATTAGTGATGGCTAGGGCATATTGAGAAAATGTTAGATGCCAGAAAGGTTGAAAGCTGTATACACAAGGGAGTTGAATGGTTGTAAACCATGTGGAAGACCAAGACGGCTAAGGAGAGATAATATCCAGACAGACCTACAAACACTTAGTGTCACCAACTGGAAAAACAAGGCCTAGCAGAGAACGAACTAACAAGAGATGTGAATGTAGGCGGGTGATATCTGCAGCAATGAACCTTAAGGGCTCCGAATGCTGAAGACGAAAAGGAATTCACGGTATTTAGGCAGGAGCATACTCCAAAACCTACCCATGTTCATAAGCTTAGGGCCTCCGTAAGTGGCCTGTATGTCGGGACTGTGCTTGTCGTACACTTCTTGTACTTCTTGTACACACTTATCTATGATCAAAATTTGTGTCCTGAAGGCTCCTGGTTCCACAATAGAAACTTTAATGCCTTGCCGCCAGACTTCGCGTCTAAATCAAAAACAAATTATTTAATATATTATTAGACAAAAAGCAATATGGACATATAACATCAGAGAAATTCTACAGCCAAATGATGTGTGGTTTTAAAGTGAAGGTGACAAGACAATCGGGAACTCAAAAATGTATGTAGTGAGTTGGTTCAGGGTATCTACTACACGACTGGATTTTTTTAAAGTCAGAAAATGGTGGGGGGGGGGGGGGGAGGGGAGAGAGATAATAAGCTTCTCAACATAACAGACAGACTTACCGTAGTCTGTCTGAGAAGCCATTCAGTCCATACTTTGACACGGTGTAAGGGATGGGTAAAATGGCCACACGGGCACCCATACTTGTAGTGATCACTATGCGTCCTTTAACTTTCCTGATGAGAGGTAGAAAGTGACGTGTTACGTCTATAGGTCCCAGAAGATTGACACTGAGCGCCTCCTGGATGTCCTCTCTGCTGCACATTTCTGCTGGCGCACATCTGCCCAAAACTCCAGCGTTGTTCAACAAGGCCCATAATCCTTTAAACGATGTAACAAACACGACAAGCACCATATTAGGGCATTTAGAATCAATTTACAAGAGAGTTACGTATTAGTGAGTTAAATTTTTTAGTTATTCATCAGTTCATACACACACACATACACACATATATTCATATTGCTCTCTTTCTTTTTCTCTCTCTCTCTCTTTCACACACACACACACACACACACACACACACACACACACACACACAGAGTCAAACAAAGGATATCTACTCGGAAATTTTTTTTTTTAAATATAAATTTGAGTCTAACTGTTAACCTAATGCAAATCTAGCATACAGAGTAGGTCACTTTTCATTCACAAGTTTGTTGGGCTGGTCGACTTTTCTGAAGGTAACAGGTGCGTCCCGCTCTATTGTTTGATTTTTGTGTTCCGAGAAAAGAGAATACATGTGACATAGGCCGCATCATTCTCTAGGGATTTTGTGTTAGCGCAATTTGCTTCCTGTTTTTGGAGTGTTAAAAGCACTGGCGTGGTGAAATTTACAAGACACCCCTATGACCTTGTGCGAAGTTCACGAGGCTCAGGACCTACCAATTAGAAGTGACCTGTTGTGTGTATATAGGCGGGGCGTGGAGAGATTAACGTTACGTGCTCCAGCCCAACACCCGTCCCGATTAGGGGCGCAAAGTTGTGTTATTTAAAACTCCACACCGGCTGTCATTGACCCTAAAATAACATAACAGTTGAACTGGGCTTTCTGGGATTTGCGCGTTGGGGGCATTTTGTGTCGCCGGATGTTTGTCCCTCGTTATACTGTCCTGGAGGGGTTGAGCGTCCTCATTTACTCATAATTTTGGCATTCAAAATCTTCGTCATTTAATGAGTCGAAGTGTTCCAATTCCAAAAAAAAAAAAAAAAAACACTTAGGTTTAACCAATCAGTTAATAAATCTGTTGTATCTACGCATCGATATGTTTAAGCGTACTGGCTCTCCTGACAACTAATGAAAGCATGCAGTAAGATAACTAAGCGTTTCCTTCTGAACATTATATATATATATATATATATATATATATATACATACTCTCACACACAAACACTTATTTATGTGACAAATAATGTATCCAGTGCTGCCTGGTCTAGGAACCGGTACACAGCACGATAAAAGAAACTAGAAATCAAAGAAATCGAACAGTCTCTGGAAATGTGGCTATACAGAAGAAAAAGGGATATTTCTTGGAAACAAAAACAGTCAAGGACAGAGGTTCTAGAAAGACTACTAATGAAAAGAAAATTACTGAAAAAATATAATACAGAGAGACAAGTGAAATACTTTTGACAAATTAGAAACATGTCACGCTTTTTAAAATTACACTAGAGGGAAAAGTTGAGGGCAAGAGAGCAAGAAGTAGACAATCATCAAAGATGGACGAACAGCAGTCTGAGAAAAAAGAGACAGAGCATCTTGGAGTTTCATTACAGCCGACCTTCGTTGATTGATTGGTTGATTGATGATATGAGATCAACATGAGCATCACCCACACTTGACTCCAAGTTAATTCATCTTTCGGCTTTTTGGCTAACACCAAAGAGCTGATCGATCACCCGGGGAACCGAGATCATTACTAAATGCTGGAAAAAACATAATAGCATATCCCTTGACCTATTAGGGTCGTTAAGGTGCATCGATGGCAGCACTAACGTACAACTCCCCCCCCCCCCCTCCCCCATCATCTTTCTATGTCTTCCGCTTGTTGAACAAGTGTATGATAACTTAGTCCTGTCCATTTCTTGATGTTGTCCTGGCTATCCCTACCCATCTGTGCATGTTTGTAGATGACTGCCTATCGCCACCTAGTTGTATCTACCCTACCCACAGCTCATCAGCAACACCGCAACAAATCTTGGAGATATATCGTCGCCCCGGCCCGTCGGCATGGAACTTGATGCTGTTTGTCCACAAACCACCCCAAGCTCCCAGCTGACAACCGACTCTATACTCTGTTTTACATCTAGTGTCAATCGCTCTATTGTATCACTTTTATATATTTCTACTATATACCATATATACTTTCTATCGTCTGTGCCAAGCCAACCAATACCCTAGTTTTCTTTATTCTACAATCCACCCACCGACACATAACCACACCGTCCCCCTAGAAACAGCAGACCTGAGCCGTCAGGTGACCTCAAATCCGCAATTGAGCCGCGATTCACACTTGACCCCGAATCATGTGACCCGAGTATCGGCCTATCCGCTAGGATGCCTTACTTGGGGAAGGAAAATTGTGTATCTTCTTTAGATCATCTGCGCCACCCTAAGCAAAGGTCAAAGAAAAAAAAAGGGTAAAGGTTAAAGGAAAGAGGGGCAAAAATAATATGCCTAAAGCTCGTATACACTACTAATAAGACACAAACATCGCAGACCTGTGTTTTTGGGGCAGCCTGCTCTCCACCAGCTTGACCGCTTGTTGTATGCTCTGTGTACTTCTAATATCTAGCTCAACTGTGGTCACTCGACTGGAACAGCTCTCGGTCACAGACTTGGCTCCCTCTTTAGTTAAACAGCCAGCAAAGACGTAGAAGCCGAGCTTGTCAAGTTGTCTGGTGCCGGACAAAGAGCAAGTATTTTTTAATGACTGTTATTTTTAACAAAATTAATTTTGATAGACATTTACAATTGGGAGCGTTGTGGTAGGACACCCAGGTCGACCAAGCCTTAAGTGAGTAACAGGTAACAGGAGTAAAGTGCCATGGGAAGTAAAAGTGGCCGGCGTGCTGTTGGCTACGTAACACACCAAGTGACGATTGGTATATAAAATATAGGTCTAGCCCTGTATGCCCAGTGTGCCTGACGGCGTAGAAAAGGTCCTTTACATCACACTAGAACTGTGCATAAACATTTCAAAGCTTTATAAAGCGGCGTATGTTGTTTTTAGAATACATGCATCATAATCATCATCAGTATGTGCTATGTCAATAAGCGTAGATAGCAGCCTTGTTTCAATATCTCACACGATCACCGAAATTATCGATCAAGTCAGTGTTCTTGTCTCCCCCATCAATATGACCAAAGCCATTCAGGTATTCATCTTCTTTTCGCTAAACTGACTAATGCTCAACATCACCAGGACATCACATCCAGCCATAAACACCCAGTGACACAAAGTGTCACTGTTGGGATGAGGATCAACCTGGGACAGGTCACAGAAACCCCGTTCAACCCATAGATTGGGTTACATTAGGGCCTCCAGCCAGAGCCAAAGTGGGGCTTTAAAACAGCAAAAAATTGCGTCCGACATTGGGACGCGCACACAAGCACTATATCTCAGAAGATCAGCTACAAGAGCAAGAGGACGGCTGCGGAAATATGGATCAACAACATTAAAGACACTCTACGGCTTCACGGCATGACAATAGCCAGTGGCAGCCAGCGTGCACTGGATCGCAAATTATTCCTCCCCACGCCGCTTAACAGCAGAAGTGGTTTATGAATTTGATGATGATTGGGACGCACTAGTAGTAGAATACCGATGACTTTTTGCCCTCTTGATTCTTTTTTTCATCCATCTTGCCAGTCGTTAAAAAATTCTCGACTCCATTGCTTTTTCATAACATGTCCACAAATCACTGACTATCTAGGTCTTTGAAGTTCGAACAACGAATCAACATCATGGCACACGGGTAGTAACCCATAAGTGCTCCATTCTTATTGCAAGTTATTACAAGTCTGTCCGAAGAAGCTCAACACAGTGCACCGGCGAGAATCCTGAAATACTTAGGGTAGATTTTTAACTCAAAATTTTTTGCCCGGGCAGCGCCGTTAGGCTACTCAGCTACATGGACCTCAGAGCCGTAGCTGCAGACACACAGATCACCCTTTGCACGAAGCAATTGATGCGGCTTGAAAGATGGAAGTCATGAATGTCTCAGACGAAGGACATGATCAGACAGGTTTGCATCCGAAGAACATTAGGTGAGGAGAAGAGAGGGTCAGTGCCAGCGAAACAGTTAGACTTTTGTAGAGTCATAATCACATTAGGCCGGGAGTGCAGAAAGTGGTCAGCAGGTGCCACGGAGATGGAAATTCAAGAATTCATTCAGCATAATGCTCGCTCGGGAGATGTGATTATTTATACAGATAAATCAGTGTCAAGAGGACAAAATAAATGCCTGGGGGGTTCTTAGCAGAAGCAAAATAAGAAGAAGAAGAAAGAAGAAGAAGAAGAAGAAGAAGAAGAAGAAGAAGAAGAAGAAGAAGAAGAAGAAGAGAAGAAGAAGAAGAAGAAAGAAAGAAGAAGAAGAAGAAGAAGAAGAAGAAGAAGAAGAAGAAGAAGAAGAAGAAGGAAGAAGAAGAAGAGAAGAAAAGAAGAAGAAGAAGAAGAAGAAGAAGAAGAAGAAGAAGAAGAAAAGAAGTTGTAGAAGAAGAAGAAGCTGCGAGATGTCCAAGATCCAGAAGAATAAGTTGTACTCACTTGGCTCGAGATAGCCAACCATTAATAAACACATACTTGTCCGTTATGTTGCATACTTTCAGTGAACGCATGATGGTGTCCAGAACGATATAAACTATTGCTACAACAAATATTACAGCGCCCGTGGCTAGGCAGAACATGGTTATGGATGTTTCTGAAATTAAGATAAGTGCACGGTCAAGCATTTTGGCTGTGCAAGCCGCCATGGTGTCGAGGCTAGACCAGCGGTTTGTAAGCTGCGGGTCACGACTTCCCTTTTTTTTTATAGATTGAACGACCCTTTCACACAGGTCGCCAAAGACTATCGGAAAACACATACTCATTGAAGTTACGAAGGGAAGTAAATGTTTTGGGGTCGCCACAACATGAGGCAACTGTACTTAAGGGTCTCGGCGTTAGGAAGGCTGAGAGCCACTGGACTAGACGTTCTGTTGATCGGATTTTCGTGGTATCAGGTCCTGAAGGAGCCAGACTTTTTTTTTCGTTTTTTTTTTAAACATAATCTCGGCTCCCAGCTCGACCTAGGCTCCAATGGGTTTTAAATAATGCCCTGGGAAGTAAAGGCAGCCGGCGTGATGTTGACCTTATCGCTCACCTAGTGCGAAATGGTCTGTAAACTATAGGTTAGCTTTATGTGCCCCAAACGCCTAAAAGCGGAAGGAGTAAAAGGTTGGGGGGGGGGGGGGCCTTAGCATTAGTGAATCTATCATACCATTTAGTTAACTCTACTCGGCGCAGGCACCACTTAATGAATGTTTATAAGTACCTGTCCTCTTTCCTACACGGACATGAACAATGGCGTGAATATGTGTATATATGTGTGTGCCTGCTTGTGTGTGTGTGTGTGTGCGCATGTGTGTAGGCAGTAATTACAATATTGTGCTAATTCTTTTAGTATAATAGGATTACCTATTTTTTCATAGCTGCTCTATCAGGCTTCAGTTAGAAGAAGAACGGAGAACTAATGAGTTAGTCTAGCTGTAAACCACAACACAAGTACAGACCTGGGTGTAACTAGAGGGTCTGGCCGGCTGACTACACTCAGAGGAAAGGCAAGACGGACGTATAACCAAATTGTGAGAACTCTGCGCTGGCTGCTGAAGATGAAGACGGAGCACGCATGGGAATGCCCCGAGTGCTGTGATGTCAATTATTGACTTAGGTCAACTCACCTCAACAACGAATTTATCTTTTTATCATTACTTCTAACGCAGAAAATATTTTCGGTTTTCGACTAACTCCGTTTCCGTTCTAGCACCAAGTTTCTACTGTAGGTTCACAGAAGTAGCTAGGTCTGAATAAATTTAGCTTAATTAAAAATAACAAAACAGTTCATTAATTTAAAAATACTAAAAGGGTTCTTAATTTATAACGTACCCAAAACACGAAATCCCCTTGGGAAATCCACAGCTGACCTGACAGTCCATTATTTAAAGGGATGGAAGTGTGCTGTTGTATGTGTGTGTGTGTGTTTTTTTTTTTTTTTGAGTGTTCATCTAGTGTCTTCTAATCCTAACCCTAACCCTAAACCTAACCCTAACCCTAACCCTAACCCTAACCCTAAACTTGGCTGTAGATAAATCGCGAGAAACTACAACCTGAACACCCTAGAATTTATTGGGAATGTCTCCCGTGACGTTGTCGTGACGTCAGGGGTAAGTTATAAATTAAGTACCACTAAAAGCTCAACAGAATCACCAGTCAGAAATAAAATACACTTATCACGAACAGAGATGTTGCGTTGATACATTTCTTCTGGATATAGAAAAATTGCTAATCTTTTAAATACTTCTAAATGCTGGCTGTATTTCCTTAAGTGTTTATTTCATTTCGTTCCGTTCTGTTTCTCAGATGTGAACTGACGACTGCTTTTTGATGCTGCCAGAAAAAGCTGTCGTTTAAATTCATTTACTGGCACACAAAATGAACACGTCCTACAGCTGGCGTAGAGTACAAAAGTAAAGGTCCCTCTTCCACGCCTTTAGGCGTTTAGTGCGTATAGGGCTAGACATATATTTTTATAGACCAATTGGCACATAATGGGTGATGTGGTCAGCATCACGCTGGCCTCCTTTACTTCCCGGGACTGCACCCGGTACCCACTCAAGGCTGGGTCGACCTGGGAGTTAAGGTCATCTTGAAAAAAAAACGTTCAGCTCCACCAAGGATCGAAATCACGACCTCCAGACCCACATGTGAGCGTCTAGCCGCTACACCACGGCGACTCCCGCTTATCAAATATTAATAACGAAATATTGATAATGAAATTGTCAACATTTTGACAAAAACAGTAGTTTGGAAAGACCTGTAATTCGTGGGCTGCTGAACATTTCGATTAATGCTTATATTTTTTTAAACTGTAAAATTAAGGTGCATTTAGGTTAGTTGCGTATCTTTACAGGACGTTGCAGAACCAACCTCAGCAGAGCCTAGCTGTTGTATGGTTTCTCTAGGCAAATTTAGGTCCAGTAGTTTGTCATTGCTTTCTGGACGGTCGGCCCCCTGATACCACTGTCGAAACCTACGCAAAGCGCTTGGCACGCAGCTGGGATTGAGCCTGGCACCCCGGCATTACGAAGCGTTCGCATCGATTTAGCCACAGACCCGACAAGGGTATTTTACTAGATGTAAATAGATGTTTTCAAGACATGCAATTACATAATATGCAGACGACTTTACTAACAGTTTTCGCTGAGTCCGTTGTGCTTTCTTCTCAGCACTGAATGTCGGTCAGATCCTCTGGTTGCTATATCATTCTTCCCCAACTGTGATGTTCTGTTTGCTCTTTCACACTTTTGTTTTCTCGTGGACATAGACACTGGCCACACCCGTCATTCACCACTAAGTAATGTCGAACCAGGAGGTCTTTGCCCAGCTCTCCCCTTTCCCCGCCAAAATAATTTTCTTTGAAAAAAGGGGCGGGGCGCATCAACAGGCTTAAGTCTTGGTTAACTGTGCAATAATATTTTAAAATAATACTAAAACAACAACAATTATAATAAAATTAAGTAGAGGACCATTTTCTACGCCTCAAGGCAACTTGGGACATATAATGCTCATCGTCATCATCTTAATCATTATCATGTGGTGTGCCGGAAAGTGTAGGCTGTCATCTTTCGCTCTCACACGAAGACCGGAATCACGGATCAGTTCAATGTTCTTCTCTGGCCAGGCCGTCCAGGTATTTATTTCTTTGCTTTCCTCCTGCTCTCTTTCCATCAAACTTGCCTGTTGTTACCAAGTTCTCGGGTCCATCCCATCATATAATATGTTTAACAATGATTGACTGTCTATGACTAATTATTCCAATAAGTTTACGACTTCCATCTGTTTCGATGAGGATCGCTGCATTTGTATTTATAACCTTCCATGCTATAGGGATAGACCTACATTTTGTAGACCAATCAGTACTTAGGGGAAATAGGGGGGAGGGGGAGGGGGAGCTCCTTGCTATGAAACCATCTTCTTTGTCTTCACCGGCTGTAAACTCCAGAACCTGTGTGTTGCGTATACATCTGTTTTACAGAACTTACTTGCTTGCAGATTGTTGGTTCCCTGTCTCTCAGGCAGATGCACTCTGATTTTGAAGAAAGCACCAGTTTAGACGACTCTAACGACATGCTTGTTGGGGAGGCAGTGGGTCTATGTTTCTACCCAGAATTGGGGGCAAAACCCACACCATTTTACTATCTCTTTTAT